CCGAGCCACACCAAGAAGACTCTTAACGCCAGTCGCTTCTAGCTTGAAACTTTTAATTGCCTTGTAAAATAATTGACTTCATTCTGAATGTATAGCAAATTCTACCTGGAGTGTAGCTAAAAGGAAAAACAAGAGGCAAAGATCCTGACATTCTGACACATTAGGCTCCACAGATCTCCATCCATCATACGGTAAATACACTGAGATGATCTCATGGCCAGCATGTTCTCTCTGTCTCCAAGCCAAATGTATTATTGTTATTATTGCTGTTATTTTTTTAAAGACTGCTTCCTCAGCTTGACAGCACGCCACTCCATATTTAAAGGTAAACCTGAAGAAAACAGATCAGCCGTGGCTGGTGCAAGATTGTGAACCAAGGTTCTTCACATCAGCAAGACCTGACCATCTGTGCGACACCGCTGCTAGACTTGAAAGGAAGCAGACTGCTTCAGTTTCCTCCTGGCAGCCATCAGCAAATCCTAGAAGCAGTCCACAACGTATTTTCACTTATTTTCTTTTAGGTTGGGTTAAAACTGAGTTTTATTTTAGTACACGTGATTTCATATCTGTTATTCTTTGTCACTCACTTTCCTGTGGATTTCTTTTTTTTTTTTTGCTCTCAGTTTAAATGAATGAATACCTCAAACATTTTAGTCCTTAACCTTAGTGTTTAAACTCAGATTGTAGGCAGTTCATTAGCATCAGCTGGCAGTAGCCCGTCTAATCCAGACAAGATGTGTATGTCTCGGCTTTCCGGCGTCATTAGCATTCCTCATATTTTTGGCAGATGCTCAGTGTTTGGAAACTTTTTTAGCACCGTGTGTATAATATGATTTGGTAGGAGGTTGGGGGAGAAAAAAAGAGACTGAAATGTTTAGGTATTCTTGTCACACTCCTCTTTTTTCTTCTTTTTTTTTTTTTTTTGTAGCGTCACTGAGTCCATTGAAGTAAATCAAATGTAGATGAATCAAAGGGAGAACAGGAGATCTGTAGCTATAGCTCAGGAAAGCCAACAGAAATATATCCAGGGACAAAGTGCAATGCTGATCCTATTTGTTTTTCTTTTCTTCTCTTTTTTTTTGTCTTTTTTTTTTTGTGTTTCTGAACGTGACTGTCTGTCTCCATGTGGTCTGTTTATCGCTCATGTCCGTGCAACAAGCACCTGTCCCAGTGTGTGTGTGTGTGGATATTTAAAATGGTGTGTGCAATGGTGTTAACCTCTCGAGCCTCGTTGTGTTTACACCTTGTGTACATGCTTCAGCTGTCGGGGCTTATAGGCTTTAACCGGAGTGACCATGGAGTTTGTTCCACCGAGAGGGAACGTGCGATTTGCATTTAGAGCAGAGTCTGTCAGCCAAACGAAGACGCGCACGCACACACACACACCTGCAGCTCAGCATCCCCGAGCTACACACAATAATGCTTTTGTCTCTCGCTGACAGCTATTTAAGTAAGAGAGATACACATTCGCAAACACTTTGGATGAAGGGAAGAGAGCAACTCAATTTAACAATGCCAGTCTCTTTTCAGTTGGTTTGATCTGATTGTAGAAGCTGTCACAAAAGATAAGCCTCAATTTCTTTCTTTTTTTTTTTAATTTTTCTTCCACAGTCTGAAACAGGCTTTTATGGGTCACGCCAATCCCCCCCCCCCCCCAAATTCACCCTGAGGCGATGTTAAAATGGACCACTATGTTAATAAAGATGAAAGTTTCCAGGATTGAGTGCGCGGAGTCTTTAAAGCCTCTCTATTTCTGCACATAGGTTTCGGTGTGTTGACTTTTTTATTTCATCCGAACTGACTTCATTGCGATGTGAGCTCAGTATGCAAGCGTGCAGGTAGCAAACCTGGAGTTTGTCTTCATTCTGGGTGTTATTGGCCTTTTTTAGCTGATTTTCAGTGAAGTTGCATTTTTGCA